GTTTTTGGTCACAAACCTTTCAGGGAACGAGGGAATGGCCGATCCCCCCACCCTTCCTGGTTCGTGAATTTTCGGTCTTAACTAAGTTAAAAAGCTATTCACGGTAATCCGGAAGGCTTCCGCGTTCCGAACTACCCTTCCGCCCCGGCGGTTTAGGCCTATTAAGGGCGTTAATGTGAGCATCCGCTCGGCGCGGAGTGCTCGTTAACGGTTCTGCCGGTCATGATGTTAAAAAGAATAACACCCAGGAGCGCCATAAAAACATGTATGTAACATTCGCCCGGAAGATACATATCAACGGAAAACAAAACTAAGTCTTAAGACGACTGGCTAACGTCTAAACAGAGCTTTGCATGCTTTTCACCGTCTCTACCAAGCCAGTACTTTTCGGTGGTCTTTTCTAACATCGGGTCGACAAAACGTTACTGCTTTCGGCTTCGGTCAAAACACTCAAATTAACTTAATTACATGCAGAAATAGTGAGCTCATGGCTGGGTCTCAGTATCCCCAGACCACGAGGTCACTCCTAAAAATAGGGCTACTACTTATTATATTACTATTGTTTTTGTTCAGTAGATAAAAATCATCATCTCCATCGAAGATGGATCAACCCTTTCCCCCAACTCCTAGCTTCTCATCCTTATCAAAATGAATCCAGTTGTTAACTAAATTCAAATCAGGACATGACAAGAAGCTAAAAGTCTATATAAAAGAATAAAAGTCTCAGTTCCGAAACCCTTCCGGATTCTTGAATCCACTGAATCAAGCTCGTTAATCTTGATTTCTTCTTAATCCGGAAGGCTGTCCTCCACCCTTCACCGTTGTCTGCAACAGCCTTGCAACTATTGTAGCGACACAATAGTTGCAAATCGGAGTGTTCACTGCTATTCCTGCAATCTGCTATTGTTTTTTCTCACAATTTTCGTACTTATCGTCCGCGCAACTAATGTTGTTCTGTTTTTCTTAGTTCTTTTTGCTGAAATGGCCGTTTCTGACGTTTCTCAGAAATGTTACGTAACCACTTCGAAAATTTAAAAATTAGCAATTCCCGAATCCTTTAACCTTCACGTTTTGTCCCATCGTTCAAATAACGTCGTTAATTCTTAATAATCACCAATCCGGAAGGCTCGCTGTTAAAATTCGAATTCCGCAGAGATTGCATTTTGGCCATTCTGGTCGAATGTCACAATCGAGTAAATAAACTATAAAGCAACTCCAGAATTGATTGGGTAATTGAGTTTAACCCGAGAAGTTTGAAATAAGTAAGTTTTAATTCTAGAAACAAGTTTCTTGTTTGAACCATTGGGCAGTCCACCTTTCCGCCGAAGGTTCACTCTGGTCCTTTCGAATTTACTGCTCACCCACTCGCGATCACCTTCTGCCAAGTATCACCTCTACTCTCGTTCGAATTATGTATTGGTACGAGATTTTTGACTATTTTTGACTTTTTTCCGCTGCTATTTTTGACTTTTTTCCCGCTGCCATTTTTGACTTTTTTCCCGCGATTGTAGTTCGATTCTTCTGATCTTACTTTTCTGGAATTTTCAGTTGTCTCGAGAAACCTGAGCATGGCATGCTCAATTTGAATTTTTGATAAATTGCAATTCACCCTAAAATCAAGACTAAACGTTTTCTCAAGGTCAAACTTCCAAATATGACCGACTGGCACATACTTTCCGGACTCAAGATCGATGTCCTCATTGCGTGTCGTCGTCCGTCAGAGAGCCCCAGACTGTTGAGTGCGTCTCACTATACAGTGCCAGTGGTCATTTACAGAAGTTTGCAGCAGATTTAACTTTATCGACACCCCAAAATTCACAACCAAGCAAAATTGTCACATTATCGCTAAACAGCAATCAAAATCTGCATACACCAGCACCCTGATTTTCCGCTTTGTAAGCTAATGATTAAAATTTTTTTTGTTTTACCCATTTAGAAAATTGTCATGCAGCATTATGATTTATATAGTAGATATAATATACTAGTAACAACATTTTTTTAATTGAAATTTGTTTTGCGTGCCCTCAGATTTCATCTGAGTTGGCACTCAAGCTCCTTTTTCTTTGATCCGCTCACGTCGGATAACGAAAATTTTGTAGTCTAATTTGCATTTGCTGATTATATAGCTTTTGCACATGTTTATCAAGCATGCCATTACTAATCCCTTTTACTTATTTAATACACTCAGAAGCAATTTCGTTTTCGCTTAAAAGTACCACCGTTAGCAGTTGTTTTCGCATTTTTGTCTATTTGGAAAGTAACGCTGATGTTGCGGAGTAAACAACTCTTCTTCTACAATTTCAACTGTAAACCATGTTTCCTCATTACAAACAACATCGTATAACTTCATTTGCAGGAATCTTCTGACTTTGGCAAGTTTATACTGCATGTTGATTTTTAGAGTCACTCGTCATATCTAGAGATCTATTTTCAAATACTTATCAATATTTTTTTTTTCAAACTCTGTTGATCTTTCACTTATTCTTCCTTGTAAAATGATTTTGAAAAGGAAAACTTCAGTTTGCCTTGGTTAGAGTGAAAAACTCCTGCACATTACTGCTTCGGTAGTTTTAGGAAAGCTTGAGTGCCCTTAAAGCGTAACCCGTTTTTTGGACGCGAGAATCCCCTGAACTTAAGCATATCAGTAAGTAGAGGAAAAGAACTCAAACCGAGAATCCCTTAGTAATGGCGAATGAACACGGAAAAGCTCATCGGGAAAGGAGTGGTGACACTCTTCGGTGTCCGGTATAGTTTGCTGCCTGACTTGTTGGCGTGGCTGGGTGTCTATTGGAAAATAGCATCAAAGAGGATAAAATTCCCGTAACATTAGCAGAAGAAAACTTAGTTCCGTGTTCCGTTGGTGTAGACGGCGCTGGAGTGGACAAGACTGACGTCGCTATCTCAATTGTCGCCTTGAGCTCTGTATTTCATTTATGACTCTAGCGGTTGTACTGTTTTTTATGTACTTCTGTCTCCCTGGGGGAGAAACATCACATAAAAAACATCATGTTTTTGCTCTCTTTAGAAATTTGTACTCGCGTTTGTTCTGACATAGCACCTTCGTTGTGTGAGCATTTTTAGAAGCACTAACGCGGAACCCAGTTCTCACCATTTGGCTTGGTGCTATTAGTACAGCATTCGCTCGCTTTGGAATTCAATCTATTCTTCGTCTCAATATGGCATCACGTTATCTGAAAGTATAATACAAGTTGAACTTAAAATTAACTTCAAGTTTTTTATAATAATGTTATAATGATATAATAATAAGAATCAATTACTGAAAATTGACATCGACATTAATGAACAATTATAAGAAATTTAGCAGAGAGAATTTTAACCATAACCCGTATATCAGGCCAGCAGTTATACATATCTATTCTGCAATAAAAAAATAACATTGCTGTTAGAAAACTTTAAAACCAGGAACATTGGGAAATCTCATGACAAACTATAGAAAAAAATTTTGAAACAATATTTTTTCAAATGCTGTAGGTAAATGCTGTGACACGGGGAACAATCTAGTTACATCCGTACTTGCAAATAACCATTGATAAGGAACAAGTCCGGAACTAACACTTTCGAAGAGTCTTAGAAGCAGAGAGCTGACAGCGGAGCTATAATAATAAAAAATCTAATAAAGATTTTAGGAAATGTGCAGGGGGAAGTGACTCCCTTTCAAGTTGTAGATCAAATCAAAAGTTTAGTTTTCTAATGTTTATACAGTTTGTGCAACTGCATTCGATCCTCCATGAGCACGGATTTAAATTTGATTGACAGATGTAATGACGCCGTGTAGTCTGGTTGAAGACATTGTTTTCACGGTTTCTCAGCAAAGTTTTGTTTGTTCTAACCGCTTGCTTTTCGACTCTTCCACTAATATATGTTTATCTTAATTGAATTATTGCATTGTGATCTGGTAAAAGGTCGGTATGGTAAAAAGACCTAGCCCCCCTCCCCCCTATGAAATTATCAGTAAAGTTGGTTGCGATAACTTAATTTTTAATTACGCTGGCGATTAGCAAGCGTTTCAAATCGGAATGTAGTATGTGAGCCTTACTTCAAATTTTTCCCAGGTTTTTTTTGACAAACTTGAAATTTTTTCTGATGTTTTTATTTGACAAAAATCTTTGGCTGAGTTTCAGGTTATTCGATGTCGGATTCTATTCTGTCGGCTTATATACCATTTTTTTTTCTTGAAATATCCGGCAGTACTTTTGAGATCAATAAGACTCTCGCATCAATTTTTGAATGCCGAAATTCAATGCCATTAGGACCTCTTTGAAAAACTTAAATAATTTCTAACACGAAAAAATGCTTTCTCGTTTCTCCCCATCCTTTTTCAATTGTAACTTAGTTCGAAATTCTGTGTGGCATTTTTAAAAGCTTCATGGTACCTTCATCCTATAGTTGCTGTATCGCAAAGGTGCGAAGCTCAGCTTCGCCTCTGTATTACGATAGTTAATATGCCAACTATCATCAAGTTTTCAGCAGAACAACTATCTGAAGAATTAGTAGTTCTTAGAAACGAACAGATTTTAAAAATCAGTCTGTCTATCTTTTTCATCTGTAAATATTTTAAAAAATGTAAACTCGGACAATAAACAAACTGGGCGAAATGTTCGTATAACGTTTAAAAATTTTTATTTCATTATTTCAACTGGCACGAAAAAATTGTATTTACTTGTGGAGCCCTCCTAAGGCCATTGGAAGACATTTAAGTCTACAATGAACACTTACTTTTAGAAAAGGAATTGGTAAAGGCCGTTAAACCATTTTGTGATATTTCTGGAGTGTAGTAACTATATGATTGATATAACTAATTTATTGCCACAGTTGATATAACTAATTTATTTAGATTAGTTTTGTCCACTTCCAAGAAATATTGTTCAAAAGGCTGTGGCATTGTAATTAGGCTTGTTTCATAGAAAATTTATATGCAATATTTCCAGTTCAATAATCTTGAAACCTGCAATGACTTGTGCAACTACTATTTCAGAACAAGAAGAATGGAGAAAAGGGCGTGTTTGTTCCAAGTGATGCTCCAGGATCAAACTATTTGAATCCAAATATCACCATCAAAGATATTCAGATTCCAGATGTGAAATCCAGTCAAAGCCGGCACTACAGAATAACCGAAGCTGTTACTGCGAACAGACCAAAAACGATACTCGTTGAAACCGATTCAAATAGAAAGGTATCGCTGCCCGCGGAAAGACCCGCCAGCGTGGCTACTCAATTGGTTAAGAAAGTTTCAGTTCCAGCCAACAATCCAATGGCTGGACAAGCAGGTGGAGGAACGGCGACGACAGGAGGAACCACATCTGTATCTTCCAGCAGGCGAACTTCAAGACAAGAAGCAATGAGCGGGAATCCAACTTCTGGAACCAGTGAGCGATCAAGCACCCGAGCAGGTGGAGCTAGTCGGTCACACGAAAATATTATTGGCAAATACAAGCTGGGCAAGACCATAGGCAAAGGAAATTTCGCTAAAGTGAAACTGGCGAAACACTTGCCTTCCGACAAAGACGTAAGTTTCAAAATTTAGCTCCGTACTCTGCGAAAAGAATTTTTAAAAAGCCGGTAAGACGAGGCCAGCTCAAATGATGTGGTTGATTTCCCCGGTCTTTGAACAATGATCTTGTAACCAGGTACTCTTCCCGTTAGTGAGTTCAAAGAGTTTCTGCTCGTGAAATCTACGCATATTGTAGCCTATGTGATTTAGATATTTTTTCGACGTTTCTCAGAGTGGGAAGGAGCTATTGCCTATTTTGTTTTTTGAGACTTCAGACCTCAAAGCAAGTAAGATAGTGATAGTGTTTCGCATCATATTGATGTAGCTTCGGTGACGATAATTGGTTGCTTTTTTTGATTGGGTTGGTAGTTTCGTTTTGTCTCTTATCCAGTGTTATTGTTCCCCTACGGGATAGGTAGGGCATGCCACTATCGTGATTTACTTGATCGTTGTTTTAACACTGGATTCGACTGATTTGTTTTTAGGTCAACCTCCTCCTTATGCTATTTAATACTTTCAAGGATATATAGCTCACCGTGCTGTTGAGCTGAAGCTGTACTGCTACACGAAGGGGTCAGGTATAGACTGAGGATATTCAGGTCTGTCGGTCTGCTTGAACAGTTGAATGAATGCGGACTTAATAGCAAACGGACTTTAAATAGCAAAGTGTTCGTTTTTAGCATCCGCATTTGGTAGTTTTTTTGAGAATGTTTTTTCTTGATTTAACTAGTGCGCAAATGTTAAGCGTTTTTATGTAAATCGTACGAAATACTCAGGATGTTTGGGTTTTTATGTTTAGGTCGGTAGACACGAATATTGAATTAGCTTAGGTTTTGACTTCGGCAGACCAAGAAATTACGGTTTTCATGGATTTTTTTTCAAGGGACAGATTCAAGCGCCTGGTTTTGGCCATCCAGTTAATTGATTGAATTAATAGTTGAAATAATAAACTGGATGTAGGCCAGAAATTAGGATCGTTTTGCTGGGTGCCGGACATCAAGCCGACGGGACTTGAAGCCGAATTGTAAAATTAGGGACTTCAAGCCGAAAATTTTCTCATTAATTCATGAAATATGATTAATTTGAATACTTTTTTGAAGAATTTCTCAATTTCATGATCTTTCTCCAGTTGTTATTGGCGTTTTCAAAAATTTAAGCCTCCGAATGATGTTAAGGAAAGTTGAAAAATAAAACATGGCTGAAGGCAATTTTCTTGTTTATAAGCTATGCATTTCAAAAACCGGTTGGTTTTTTTAATGGATGCCAATCCCAAGTGATTCATTGTCATGAATAAAGCTTCTTATGGACTAAATTTGCTTACAATTTTGAAACGCAACGTTTTACAGATGAAAAAATAGTGATCTGAGGTGCTTGTAAAGTTTAAATTTCGGCCTGAAGTCCCTTCGGCTTGAAGTCCCGTCGGCTTGTTGTCCTAGACCCCGTTTTGCTATCAGCGCACAAGAATCGGTTGCCACCTTGTGGTATACTTGTTTGAATTTTTTGATGCCCGATTTAGCATCTGTAAACTCAACGCATGAAGCGTCCTTGCAGGTAGGATAACAGCCATCGTTAATCGTTAATGGCGTTGGTTGTTACGTCTGAATCATATATTTTACTGAGAAGGACGCTGTGATTTACTGTGTCAAGGTAGCAGTGAGATTCAGTGCCACCATAGAATTCTAACACGGTTTTTCAAGATTCAGTCCTTCGGTTATGATTGAAACTTTGAAGTCACGGTAGACCAAGTGATCCTAAAACCATATTGCCATATTAATTTCATGTTTAACTGCATTGCAATTTGAGTAAGAGACTCATTTTCATCAGTTTTGCTATTGTCAGAATAGCATGTATGCCTGAAAAACTTGATAAGTTGAATGAAACAGTTGACTTCTATAGCAAACGGATTTTGAATAGCAAAGTGTTTGCCATCGTTTTTTGTTTGTGTGTGTGTGGACGTGTGTGAGTATATATATATATTCACTTATACACACATATCGCCGTGTTTGAGTTTTTTAAAAGTATTGTTTTACAGGTTTAACGAAAATATTAACGTTTCACTTTTAAACTATATCATATATTGCAATGCGTAAGAAATGTTTTAGATTTTTCAGTTTGAGTTTAGTGTTTATTTCACAAAGTTTGAAATTAGCATCCCAAAAATGGGATGCTGTCAGGGTTTCTGAGGGGTCGCAAATTTTGCCTCAAATATAAAAACCCAAATCCTTAGTTTACGATATACGACGATTCGAAGTTTCAAAAACTTCACTATATCAAGAATTCCCAACCTTATAGTGAGGCGCTTTTAAGGTAATCTCAGGCGATGCAAACGTTTCCACCAAATATGACTGATCAAATCCTTTCAGTTTTCGAGATATGACGTTTTTTATGTTTTTCCCAAATTTTCAAAGATTTGATGTTTGATCATTTTTGTTTAAACATTGTCTCAGAGGAAATAATTCTCTTGTGCAAATTTTGATTTAAAAAGCGTTGTTGGATGCCCACGTCTATTGTTGTGGTTGCATTCATTTAGTTATTTATATTTTGTATATGAACAGTTTTCACGTTCATGAATCTGTTTGAAGATTCGGAGGTGTGTTACATGCTAGTTTATATGTAAATTGGGATGTTTCAAACCATCATTTGTATCGAAAAATGTAGCTATATATTTTTTCAACATCGGCACCTTCTTTCAGTAAAAGAATGTCTGTCGAATTTTATTATTTTTTCTCAAATAGGGTTCGTTTGATAAGAATAAAATTCAGCCATGAAGTTTTTTTGTTCTTCAAAAATTTAATAAACTAAAAAATGCATATAGTTTTTTAGCAAGGGCACTAACTACACTGGTTCTCCACAATCAGCTGAACAACTCATCTGTTGGCCTTTTCCGTTGTGGGTAAACTGAATAGAAGCCAGGTCATGTTATTTGTTCTATGGAACTCGGTAGTTTAACGAAGCTTAAAAACAGTAGCTTTTTTCGTTTTTTTTTCTAGTTCATTAAATCTTTTCCAAACGCCTATATGCTCAACGCTTTAACAATAAGTTTTCTGTTAAAACTTTTCAATTTGATTTAAAAAATTGGTGGTGGTGTCGTTATCTGTTTTTCAGTTTGTTTTTAATGCATCTAGTGTTCACTTTTGACTGATTTTTTATCATACTTTTTGATCTGACCTGTAATGAAGAATATTGCAATTATTTTTGTCATCCGCGTTGGGACTAGAGACATTTGTTGCAAAAGAACAACAAAATGGAAGATTAGATCTCCGGATTGTTTGTGTTGAATTATGAAAAAGCTCTTTGTGAACTCTTTTTTTGTCATTTCATTTAGTTGTTTGCAATTAAGAGATGGATACGTTTTAAGCAAAAAGTTCAATAAAAATACATGTTAAATTTGTACTTATCACAGCGTGAGGTGCCAAAATTTAATCTTCACTCAATGTTAGATTTAAAGCTATCGGGCTCAGGCCTGTCCTGTAGTCTTTCTGAAGTCAAATCAAATCTATTGGAAATTGTTAGATCTGTTTACCGTTAAGTGACTACCCGTTTACATTATTTCAAAGTTAGTCGCTGCCGGTCAAATACTTTGCCAAATCTGTGACTTTGTCGGGTGAAATTCAAATTTTCATGCTGTTACACGTCATGGGAATATTTAGGTGGTCGAGACGCTTTTGGTAGACTTTTGAGGTTTTGGGCTATTTTCCATGTACATTGTGAAGTGGGGAATTGAAGTTGGTTAAACTCAGTTGTCGTCATGGAATAAATTTTTGTTTGGTACACTGTTTTCACCTACCGTATTTTATTCTGCTTCTTAATATCAGTTTCATTCATTCAGTCAAAGTGTTTCATTCGCTTTAGAAACACGAAAAGCGGTTTAATAAGCAAAGTGAACTACTTTCAGGGTTGTTGTGATAACATAATACCATTAAATAATGCCCTGATTGTCAGTTTACAGAATTTTTCTTCTACTCCTCGGTGGAGTGGAAATTTTTGAATACATAGGGCTGGAGTAGTGAGTGATTGAGTGATTATAATTAACTTAGATTATTATTTAATGTTTTTAGCATAGAATTTAATAACAGGTTTTTCAGCGGTCGTTAAAGTTTAATCGATATTGAGTTTTTTTTACAAATTTAATTATCTTAACAAATTTTAAAAACTTGGTTTTATTGAAATTGTAGAAAAATAATTAAATCTGTAAAAGCTAATTTTCCTTTTATAACATTTTCATTTCAACGACGTTGTCAATTGCAAGCAATGCCCAGGAAAGATGGCATCCAACAAAAGCTAAATGTATAGTAAAATTTTTTTTTTCTGGTACTCTTTTTGGTATTTTATGGTATTTAACTAGTCCAGGAAGTGAGTGTAAACTAAGATAGCCGTGCTTAACACTCCACCATAAAAATTCTTGTACGGACTTCTCTTTTCGCACAGTAAAGGTTGTTCAACCTGTCATGTAGTCAAAAAGGAATTAAAGTCAGCGTCATTTTTCCTCATTATCGAGCAATATTACCATCCGTCAGTAGACTGACCAACGCTTAATAGGATGAGCAGAGAAGATTATTCTCTGAAGTGGGAGGCTGTCAAAGTTGGATAATAGAGGAAAATGTCCAATTATTCAATTTTAAAATTCTGTTGCACTTTTTTGTTCATATCCGTCCGTTTTACTGTTTTCGTTCTGAAAAATCTTGCGGAAAATTGTTTGATACTTTTTTTTAGTAAATCACAAATCTGTTTTTTTCATGCAAAACCAGCGTTGTGTATTTATACCATTTTGTATTCACAACGATTAATGTTTTTGAGATAAAATAAAATCGTCCTTTTCTTCAGCATAATACCTATTCTTGTTCTTTTTCCATTCCTTCTGCACTCCTAAGTTCACTTTCATATATTTATTTCATAGGGGATTAAATTGGTAACCGTGCTACTGAAATGTTAAAGGGTAAAATGAAATGAATGCAAGCTTTGACTTGAATGCCTAAGGCCATGATCCTGTATTTCGCACCAAGTAATTCCGACTA